AGGATGCTCAAAGGACTTAGTGAGAACCTCAGTGAACTTAGTGAGGATCTCAAGAGCATAAAAAAGGACCAGTCAAAAATGAAGGAGGCACTAACTGAAATAAAGAATAATTTACACAGGTCTTCCGGTCAAGATGGTGGCGTAGGTAAACGCGGTATCGCGTCCTCCCACAACCACATCAAAGTTACAACTAAACTACAGAACAACCATCATTCAAAACCGCCTGAAATCAAGCTGAATGGAAGTCGTACAACTACGGAACTAAGGAAAAAAAAAAAAGCAGCTACATCCAGACCGGTAGGAGGGGCGGCGGCGCGAGGGGGAGCGGCGGCGGAGCGCGCAGCGGCGAGACGGGCTGGTCCCACACCCAAGCGTAGTGGATAAAAATCAGGAGGATCCCGCGGCTGGGAAGGTCCTTCCTGAGGACTGAGGGGTCCCCGTCCCACACCAGGTGTCCCGTTCAGGGCTCCAGTGCCAGGAAGAGAAGTCCCCATAACTTCTGGCTGGAAAAACCAGCGGAAACTGAGGCTCAGGGAAGCTGAAGTGGCTGGAGCCCCAGGCAGCTCCTTAAAGGGCCCGCGCATGGACTTATCCGACTCTCTCCCTCTAAGCTCGGAGGGGAGGCAGCTCGAGGGGCACCAGAGACACACAGGGAAGAACTGAGCTGTTTGGCACTGGAGCGAGAGCTGGAGAGGGGGCTTCCTCGGGGACAAACGTGCTGTCAGAGGCCTTTGTTCCTTTGGTGAGCCCTTCCCGGGGGCGGCAGACAGAAGCCATATCTGGGACTCCAGCAACCTGGCTCACACTCTTAGCCCCGCCCTGCTGACTCCCTGAGGCCCCGCCCCGCCCGACACAACTTTCAAGCTGTTGCCACTTGCTTAACCATAGGATTGGCTGGTCTTGGATCCTGCTTCAGGTTTTTCCTAAATTCTTTCAAACGAGCAGCACCGGGTCTCAGCGAGCCCCATACCTCTCATTAAGTAATACACAGAAACAAACACAGGGAGGCAGCCAAAATGAGGATACAAAGAAACAGGTCCCAAATGAAAGAACAGAACAAAACCCCAAGAAAAGAACTAAGCGAAAGGGAGATCAGCAACCTAACAGATACTGAGTTCAAAATACTGCTTATAAGGATGCTCAATGAACTTAGTGAGAACCTCAGTGAACTTAGGGAGGGCATCAAGAGCATAAAAAAGTACCAGTTAGAAATCATGGATACACAGTTAGAATTAAAGGAGGCATTAACTGAAATAAAGAATAATTTACACAGCTTCAATAATAGAGTATGTAGATCCAAGGAGCAAACCATCGATTTGGAATATAAGGAAGCAAAAAATCCCCAATCAGAAGAGCAAAAAGAAAAAAGAATCCAAAAAAATGAGGATAGAGTAAGGAGCCTCTGGGATAACTTCAAGCGTGCCAACATTCGCATCTTGGGGGTGCCCGAAGGAGAAGAGAGAGAACAAGAAATCGAAAACCTGTTTGAAACAATAATGGCAGAAAACTTTCCTAACTTGGTGAAGGAAACAGACATACAAGTCCAGGAAGCACAGAGAGTCCCAAACAAGATGAACCCCAAGAGGCCCACACCAAGACACATCATCATCAAAATGCAAAAGGTTCAAGACAAAGAGAGAATCTTAAAAGCAGCAAGAGAAAGGCAGCTAGTTACCTACAAGGGAGTACCCATTAGGCTGTCAGCTGATTTCTCAAAAGAAACTTTGCAGGCCAGAAGGGAGTGGCAAGAAATATTCAGAGTGATGAAAACCAAGAACCTACAACCAAAATTACTCTATCCTGCAAAGCTGTCATTTAGAATCGATGGACATACAAAAACTTTCCCAGACAAGAAAAAGTTAAAGGAGTTCATCACCACCAAACCGTTATTATATGAAATGATGAAGGGTCTTTTTGAAGAAAAAGATAAAATGTATGAACAAACAAAATGGCAATGAATACATATCTATCAACAATGGAATCTACAAACAAAATGAACAGGAAGAACAGAAACATTCTCATAGATACAGAGAACATTTTATTGGTTGCCAGTTGGGAAGGGGGTTGGGGGAATGGGTGAAAAAGGTGAAGGGATTAAGAAGCACAAACTCATTGCTAGACTGACAAACCTCAAAGGGAAAGGGGTTGGGGGGGGTGGGAAGAAATAAACCAAAGAACTTATATGCATAACCAATGGACACAGACAATAGTGTGGGAAAAGGTGGGAGGGGGGCGGGAGTGGGGAGGAGGGGGTCAATGGGGGAAAAATGTGGAACATCTGTAATACATTTTACATCCAACAATAAAGATTTGGAAAAAAAAAAAAAAAAAAAAAAAAAAAAAGAATAATTTACACAGATTCAGTAGTAGAGTAGGTAAAGCCAAGAAGCAAACCATCGATTTGGAATATAAGGAAGCAAAAAACACCCAATCAGAACAGCAAAAAAGAAAAAGAATCCAAAAAAATGAGGATAGTGTAAGGAGCCTCTGGGAAAACTTCAAGCGTGTCAACATTTGCATCTTGGGGGTGCCAGAAGGAGAAGAAAGAGAACAAGAAATTGAAAACCTATTTGAAACAATATGGCAGAAAACTTCCCTAACTTGGTAAAGGAAACAGACGTACAAGTCCAGGAAGCACAGAGTCCCAAACAAGATGAACTCCAAGAGGCCCACACCAAGACACATCATCATCAAAATGCAAAAAGGTTCAAGACAAAGAGAGAATCTTAAAAGCAGCAAGAGAAAAGCAGTTAGTTACCTACATGGAAGTTCCCATAAGGCTGTCAGCTGATTTCTCAGGCCAGAAGGGAGTGGCAAGAAATATTCAGAGTGATGCAAAGCAAGAACCTACAACCAAGTTTACTCTATCCTGCAAAGCTATCATTTAGAATCGATGGCCATATAAAGAGTTTCCCAGACAAGAAAAAGCCAAAGGAGTTCATCACCACCAAACCATTAATATATGAAATGTTGAAGGGTCTTCTTGAAGAAAAAGGTAAAAAATATGAACAAACAAAATGGCAATGAATACCTATCTATCGACAATGGAATCTACAAACAAAATGAACAAGCAGAACAGAAACATTCTCTTAGATACAGAGGAATTTTGTTGGTTGCCAGATGGGAGGGGGTTGGGGGAATGGGTGAAAAAGGTGAAGGGATTAAGAAGTACAAATTGGTTGTTAGACTGACAAAGCTCAAAGGGAAGGGGGATTAAGGGGTGGGGAGAAATAAACCAAAGAACTTATATGTATATATGCATAACCAATGGATACAGACAACAGTGTGGGGAAAGGCAGGAGAGGGGTGGGAATGGGGGAGGAGGGGGTCAATGGGGGAAAAATGAGGAACATCTGTAATATATTCAACAATAAAAATAAATTTAAAAAAAAAGGTGTATGGACAAGATTGTCAATTAAAGTTGCTGACCACTGAAAGTCACAGAAACCCACCTGCAGTGGCTTAATTAATAAGGAATTTTTCTCATGGAGTAAAGTCTAGGTTTAAGCAATCCAGGGCTAGAAGAGCTGTTCTAGGAAGGCCTCCAGAACCCAGGCCCCTTCTAGTTTCTACTTTCATCATCCACAGCTTATGGCTTTCAGTATGGCTATTCCACCTCCAGCCATCACATCTGAGTTTCAAGCGAAGGGAAGGGGGAAGGACAACCATAGTTTCCTATTTTATCCACCAGTCTTCCACTTATGTCTCATTAGCCAGAACTGCATCATTGCCACGCCCACTGCTGGAGAGTTTGGGAAGGTGACAAGTTGTTTTAACTGGGGATTTTGCTATCCTGAACAAACTCAGAGTTATATACAATACTGACAAATTAGAAACAAACTAAATATTGATCTTCAAAAATATTTTCTTGAGGTGTAACATATATGCAATAAAGAACTCAAATCTAAACTTTACAGCTTGGTAAAGTTTTATATATGTATTCACCTGAGTAAGCATCACCCAATCAAGATAGAGTACATTTCCAGCACCTCAGAAGGCTCCCTTGTGCCCTTTCCCGGACAAAGCCCCGCTATGGTAACCACTCTCCTGACCTGTCTCCACAGATTACTTTTACATGTCCTTGAACTTCATATAAATGGAATCTTTGTGTCTGACTTCTTTTGCTCATTTGAATATTTGTTATTTTTAATTGTATACAAATTCTGACATACCTAGAATAATATGAAATCACTAGAAGCAAAAATATACAACTATATTGCTTGGCATGAAAAGATATCCTTGATATATTGTTTTTATTTTATTTTGATATATTGAGTTTTTTAAAAGGTTACAAAAGTCTGTTTACATAAATGGGGCTCATTTATGAAAGATAGTATATGCTTAGAGAGAAAAGTTTGACACAATATGCACCAAAATGTTATTGTTATTTCTGGGTGTTAAGATTCACTTTCTCTGTGTTCTGTTTGGTTTGAATTTTTTTAAGTGTTAAATTTGGAATAATTATAATTTTATAGAAAAGTTTCAAGAACAGTACAAAGAACTTCTGTAGTACCTTAACCTTCATCAGTTGTTAACATTTGCCACATGTACTTTAATACATGGGTTTTTTTTTCCTTCCGGAATCACTTGAGAGTTAAGTATCAGTCATCATACTTATTTACCCCTGTACACTTACATGATTATTTTCTGAGATAAGAAATTAATCACAGAATACTGATCAAAATCTGGGAATTTAACAGTGATATAATATGTACTCTAGAGTTTATAATCAATTTTATCAAATGTCCCAATAGCATCCTCAATGATTTTTCTCCAGTGCCAGCATTGTTATTAATTCTCAAGCTTCTTTAGCTATTTGAATTTTTTATAAGTATATAACATTTCATTTAAAAAAAAAGAAAAAGGACCCAGAACTACTTGTATTGAGCAAGTAAAACAAAATGGAGTGAGACATAATACAGAGAGCTTATTTTCAAAGTGTGGCCTGCCTGGAGCCCTCCAGGTTAAACTTCTGGTTTTATGTCCCTTGATGCATACAGGGCAGCTGTGAAGTCCTGCGGCTATTGGACCTTGGGGCCTCCCCTTTCTACTACAAGTGGATCTGGCAGCATCTGGAGCTGATAGATGACAGAGCTCTGAAAACCAACCTCAAAGGTAAGCTGCTGTCCACATCTGGCAGCTGGCTGCACAGCAGGGGGCACCTGGTCCCATCCTGTTGCCTGTTCCCAGTTCATAGAGTCTTAGAAATCTAGAGCTAGAAGGGCCTGGCAGGATGTCTGGTTTGATTCTTTCTTCTACCAGCTGTGGAAACCTACAAGGCCAGCTTAGCCAGGTTAGGCTCTGGCCCACCTCTCCCACTCCTTTTCAGCGTTTCCTCTTTGCTTCAGGTTCCCCCAGGGAGAGAGGGTAGGGGGTGGGGGTGGGTGAGCTTGGAGTTAGAGCTGGTGTGAATCCCACTGGTTAGCTGGGTGACTTTGGTGAGTTACTAAGCCTCTGGGCCTAGTTTCTTTGGGTATCATGGTAGTGTTGTGGTTAAGAGCATAAACCCAGGAGCCAAACTGCTTGTGTTTGAATCCAGGGTCTGTCTCTTACCAGCTGTGTGATTCTAGACAAGTCACTCAGTATCCCTGTGTAACCAGACCCTCAGTCTGTAGAATGTGAATGGTGGTCCTTACTTCGTAGACTTGTTATGAAATTAAGCAGATGACTATATAAAGCTTGCAGAATAGTACTTGGATGCATTAGTATGTAGTATATGTTTGTTGTCATTATCACACAGATTACTAAGGAAGGCTAAGTGAGATCATGTATGCACAGGGCCTGGTAGGTGCTGAATAAATGTCAGATCTCTATGTCAATTTCTTTTCCACTGCCAATCCACCAGAGAAAAAGCTGTATCCCACCAATTTTCTTCCTTTTTTTTTTTTTTTAATCCTCACCTGAGGACATTTTTCCATTTTTTTTTTTTTCAGATAGAGTGGGAGGGAGAGAGAGGAAAAGAGAGAGAGAGAAACATCGACATGAAAGGGTCACATGGAGTGGCTGCCACTCATATGACCCAACCAGGGCCGGGAACAAACTGCAACCGAGGTATGTGCCCTTAGCGGGAACCGAACCCGGGTCTCTCTGGACCTCAGGCCAATGCCCTAAACGCTGAGCCAAACTGGCTAGGGCTTGTTCTTTTTCAGGATTGTTTTGTCTATTTGAGGTCCCTTGAGATTCCTTATAAATTTTAGGATGGGTTTTTCTATTTCTGCAAAAAAGTCACTGGGATTTTCATAGGAATTGCATTAAATCTGTAGATTGCTTTGGGTAGGATTGGCTTCCAATCTGTGAACATAGGATGATTTCCATTTATTATGTCTTCTCTAATTTCTTTCAGCAGTGTTTTGTAGTTTTTATTGTCCATGTCTTTCTTTTCCTTGGTTAAGTCAGTTCCTAAGTATTTTATCGTTTTGATACTATTGTAAATGGAATTAAAAAAATAAATTTATTTTCAGATTGTTCATTGTTAGCATATAGAAATGCAACTGACTTTTGTGTTGACTTTGTATTCTGCTATTTTGCTGAATTTTTTTATTAGTTTTAACAGTTTTATCATGGAATCTTTAGGGTTTTCTACACAAATTTTAATATGTTGTTTTTTCATAGACTTTAGTTCAAAATACTTTTAAATTTCCCTTTGGATTTCTTAAAAGAACAGAACCCATTGACCCATTGAATGTTTAAAATGGTGTTATTTAGTTTCCAAATATTTGGAGGATTATCCAGCTATTATTTTTGTTCGTGATTTAGAAGAGAACATACTTTGTATGATCTGAATCTTTATATATCTATTGGAACTTGTTTCATGGATCAGAATATAGTCTATTGGCAAATGTTCCATTTGCATTTGGAAATGGGTGCAGTGTTCTAAGAATGCCAATTAGGTCAAGTTGGTTGATAGTGTTCAAGACATCTATGCTCTTATTTCTGTGTACTTTCTTTATTAAGTATTAATATAGAGAGTTAAAATCTCTAACTACAATTATAGATATGTTTTCCTCCTTGCAGTTCTACCAATTTTGCTTCATGTATTTTGTTTTTTGTTTTTTTTTTATTTTTATCCTCACCCGAGGACATTTTTCCATTTTTTGTTCAGGTAGAGTGGGAGGGAGAGAGAGGAACAGAGAGAGAGAGAGAAACATCGACGTGAAGGGACACATCGAGTGGCTGCCACCTGCACAACCGACCAGGGCCAGGGACAAACTGCAACCAAGGTACGTGCCCTTAGCGGGAACCGAACCCGGGTCTCTCAGGACCACAGGCCGACGCTCTAACCGCTGAGCCAAACCGGCCAGGGCGCTTCATGTATTTTGAAGCTCTCTTATTAGGTGCTTTGACTTTAGGATTGAATTCTTGCTTATTGTGAAATGAACTTCTATCCCTGGTAATATTCTTTGCTTTATTATTTATTTATTAAATATGTTTTTATTGATTTTTTAGCGACAGAGGAAGGGAGAGAGAGACATAGAAACATCAATAAGAGAAACATCTATCGGCTGCCTCCATCACACCCTCTACTGGGGATCGAGCCCACAACCTGGGCATGTGCCCTGACTGGAAATCCAACTGGGACATCTGAGTCCATGGGATGATGCTCAATCCACTGGGCCACACCGGTCAGGCAATATTCTTTTTTTGGCAGGGGGAGGGGGAGGGCGCCTGCTTTGAACTCTAATTTTTTCTTTCTTTTTTTTTTTTTTTTTTATCCTCATTCGAGGACATTTTTCCATTTTTTGTACAGACAGAGTGGGAGGGAGAGAGAGGGAAACATCGATGTGAAAGGGACACATCGAGTGGCTGCCACCCGCACGACCAACCAGGGCCGGGGACAAACTGCAACCGAGGTACATGCCCTTAGCGGGAACCGAACCCGGGTCTCTCCGGACCGCAGGCGGACGTTCTAACCGCTGAGCCAAACCGGCCAGGGCTGAACTCTAATTTTTTCAAAGTAAACGCTTTAGGACCCACGGGACACTCAGCTAAGAGCATCAAGGGGGTGCCAAGAGGCTAGGGGCGGGGACAGGGGGTGGCTCACCTCATGTGCTGGACTGCCCTCCTGCTCCCAAGATCCAATTATAAGCTTTTTTTTTTAAGTCTTGGTGACATTTTATTTATTTATTTACATTTTTTTTTTTTATTGAGTTTAGAGAGAGGAAGGGAGTGGGAGAGAGAGAGAAACAGATGAGAGAGAACATCAATTGGCCGCCTCCTGCATGCCGCCCACTGGGGATTGGGCCCACAACCTGGGCATATGCCCTGACTGGGAATTGAACGAGCGGCCTCCTGGTGCATGGGTTGATGCTCAATCACTGAGCCACACCGGCCAGGCCAACTATGAGCTTTTTAATGTAGCAACTTCAATATACTGGGCAATATTCTTTACTTTAAAACCCACTTTCAGCCCTGGCCAGTTTGGCTCAGCGGTTAAAGCGTCAGCCTGCGGTTCACAGAGACCCAGGTTCGGTTCCCGCTAAGGGCATGTACCTTGGCTGCAGTTTGTCCCCGGCCCTGGTTGGGTCAGGGTCGTGCGGGTGGTGGCCACTCGATGTGTCCCTTTCACATCGATGTTTCTCTCTCTCTTCTACTCTCTCCCTCCCGCTCTATCTGAATAAAAAATGGAAAAATGTCCTCGGGTGAGGATAAAAAAATAATAATTAAAAACAAAACAAAAAAAAACCCACTTTCAGTATTTTCAAGATAAAATACTAAAAGACAGCATATAGTTGGGTCTTGCTTTCTTATTTTTATTTTGTTAATCCTCATCCAAGTATATTTTTCCATTGATTTTTAGAGAGAGTAGAAGGAAGAGAGAAAGAGAGAGAACATCAACGTGAGAGACACACATTGATTGGTTGCCTCCTGCATGTGCCCCCATTGGGCTGGGGATTGAACCTGCAACCCAGGTATGAGCCCTTGACTGGGAATCAAACCCACAACCCTTTGGTGAGCAGGTTGATGCTCTAACCACTGAGGCACATTGGCCAGGGCTGGATCCTGCTTTTTCAATCCATTCTGACAATCTCTGCCTTTTTATTGACAATTAAATTTACATTTAATGTTATTATTGATTATGGTTGGATTTAAATCTACCATCCTGCTATTTGTTGTCTGTTTGACCCATCTGTTCTCCATCTGTTCTTTATTCCCCTTGTCCTTTTGATTTTTCTTCTTTCTTTTGGATTAGTTATTTTGTATGATTCCATTTTATTTTATTTTCAACTTGAGAGGGAAACATAGATCGGTTGCCTCTCATATGCGCACTAGTGGACTGGGGATGGAACCCACAACCTGGGTATGTACCTGGACCAGGAATCAAGCCCATGACCCTTTGGTGCATGGGAGGATGCTCCAACTAGCTGAGCCACACTGTCAAGGGCTGTGGTTACCATTTATTTTTTTAAATCCTCACCCGAGGATATTTTTTCTATTTATCTTTAGATAGAGTGAGAAAGAAGGAGAGAGAAAAACATGGACGTGAGAGGGACACATCGACTGGTTGCCTCCTGCATGATCCCAACCAGGGCTGGAGATGAACCACAACTGAGGTATGTGCCCTTGACCAGAACTGAACCTGTGACTCTTTGATCCGGGGGTCAACACTCTAACCACTGAGCCAAACCAGCTAGGGCTGTGGTTACCATTTTTGATGTTCTTCATTTGTTTGTGTAGATTCAATTTTCCAAAGTACCATTTTCTTCTGCCTGAAGTATATACTTTAACATTTCTTATAGTTCAGGTCAGCTGATGATGAATTTTATTTATTTATTTATTTATTTATTTATTTATTTATTTATTTTTAATCATCAGAAAGATTGGGAGGAAGAGAGAAACATCGATGAGAGAGAACATCTGTTGACTGCCTCCTGCATGCCCCCTACTGGGGATTGGGCCTACAATCTGGGCATGTGCCCTGACTGGGAATTGAACTGTTGACCTCTTGGTGCATGGGTCGACACTCCACCAGTGAGCTAAACTGGCCCGACATCTACAGAGCTGTTTTAGGACAGGGCAACTTGCTTCCCTGGGAGTGAGAGAAAGCAACACAGAGTATGTCCGAGGCAGAAGCTACAATCTTTTAAACCTAATCCTAAGTGACATCCTAATCCAAAGTCACTTTTGCTGTATTCTGTTTGTTAGAATCAAGTCCAACCCACACTTAATGGGAGGATATCACGCAATGTGTGGATACCAGGAGATGTGGGGATCATTGGGGGCCATCTTAGAGGCTGCCTAACATTGTTGGTTTCCTAACATGATACATATGCTGTTCAGTACTCTGCTGAGACTGAATGGGGAGCCTTGGAAGATCAGAGTTCTTTCTTGCAGCTCTCTCCTCCCTGGTGCTCTGCTCTGTGAACTCTAGCTTCTGTGTTCTCCCCCAAGCCTCAATTCAGAGAGATCACTTGGGTTTCCCTTCTCTGTACCATGTCCCAGAAAAATCTCCAGGCAATAAACTGGGGCAATAGTAGGGCTCACTCCCTTTGTTTTCTGTCTTTCAAAACTGTGGCCTGATGGCCAATGTCTGGAAAACCATCCCCCCACCCCCATACATTTAGTCTGATGATATTTTGGTAGTTTCAGGCAGGAAAGTAAATTTGGCTGGAACCAGAAGTCTAGATCTATGTTTCTTATATAGCTGAGTTTCATTCTATTGTGTGGATATACCATAATTGATTAAATCAATTACCTTTTACAGATACAGTGGGTTATTTCCAATTTTTCACTTTTACCCTACTGTGGTGAATTTCCTGGTGTGTTTATCTTTGCACACTTTTGCAGGGAAACATACTGGATGAGTTCTTAGGACACTGAATCAAGTCATTGGTCCAGGGTGTACTGGCTATGCACATTTAAAATATGGATCGGTATTGCCAAAATGCCTTTCAGAGATTATACTCAGGCCTTTTTATATGTATGTGCTCTGCTAATCTAGGCCCTTCTCCTTGTGCAGTTTGGACTGATTTCTATTAACATTAACTTTAATAGTTGATTCTGACACTTGGAGATCTATTTTTAAAATCATTGTTATTGAAGTTTTTCATACAATAAAATACACACATTTAAAATGTGTAGTTCAGCCCTGGCCCGTTTGGCTCAGCGGTTAGAGCGTCAGCCTGTGGTACAGAGAGACCCGGGTTCGGTTCCCGCTAAGGGCGCGTACCTCGGTTGCAGTTTGTCCCTGGCCCTGGTCGGTCGTGCGGGTGGCAGCCACTCGATGTGTCCCTTTCACATCGATGTTTCTCTCTCTCTCTCTCTGTTCTCTCTCTCCCTCCCACTCTACCTGAAAAAAAATGGAAAATTGTCCTCCGGGGAGAATTAAAAAAATAAAAAATAAAAAAAATAAAATGTGTAGTTCAGTGGATTTTGAGAAACTTACATCTGTTGTAACCACCAGAATCAAGTTATAGGATTCATCACCCCCAAAAGTTACCTTGTGCCCCTTCCCAGTCCATCACTACGCTTTACCCCTGGTCCTAGGCAACCAGCAATCTGCTTTCTGTTCATATAGGTTACATTTGACTTTCCTAAGGTTTTATGTAAATGGAATCATACCATAGTACTGTTTTGTGTCTGGCTCCTTTCACTCAGCATAGTGTTCTTGAGTAGTTGGTTTACTTCTTTTTATTTCCGAGTAGTATTCTCTTGGAGAACTTGTTGATAACTCTCATGAAGGGCCTATTACGTGCTGGACACTGTGCTAGGTGCATAGCACATACTCTTATCTATAATTCTTACAATTACCCTATGAGGGTTCCAAGAGATTATGTGACTTGTTCAAGGTTCTAAGGCTGGTCATCCATTTATCTTTCATTGCTGCCCCCACCCTTAATCCCAGTTTGAAAGCCCAGATAAATGTGATTTGCTGAAAGACATGAGCTTTGAATCAGATAGACCTGTGTTCAAATCTAAGCTTCAGCCTTTTCCTGGGTGACTTGACCTCATTTTATCTCTTAAATGAGACCAATAACACTTGTCTGGATGCAATGGCTATGAAGGCTCTAGATTAGGGCCCAACTAACACAGAGGGACAATATGTGGGTGCCACAGTGTTTTTGTTGTTGCTTTTCTTCTATTTTTCTTAATTTCTCCATGCACCAGATTAGCCAGGCAGGTGACTTTGGTATACCTCCAACCACCACCACCACCATCACCCGCATATGTGCAAAGACCTGCTAATATGTTTTCCTGTGCTTTCTCTAACAGAACTTTTTCCTGTGAAGAGATTTAAGGAATTCCGGATCAAATCATATCCTGTACAGGATTTTAGCTCTCTGAAACTTCTGCGTCTCGAGAAAGCCTGGGAGCAACAGGGGACTAGCTTCAGTAGGAAGATTAATACCCTAGAAAACAGTCTCCCAAAGATGTTGGGCCCAAAGATCAAGTAAGCTTAGCTCTTGGCAGATAGAAGTGTCCAGATTCGGATTAAAAAGGACGTTATAACTTTAGGGCAGAATGTCAGGAATGCTAGGGAGGTGGCAGAGGTAGCAGGCGCAGCTTGACACAAAGATTGGGGTGTGTGGGGAAGGCAGCCTGAGAGGTGCTAGGTTTGATATCCAGGAGCTGCATTCTCTGCCTCTAACTCTCAGGGTCACTTTAGGTGGTCAGCTACTTCCTTTGGCAGGGAACCCGTTTGAGGAAGAAGGGGCAGGATAGGTCTTACAGCTCCAACGCTGTGTGTGTCTGGGCCTTGAGCCTCTTCACAAAATTATAACCATCCAAGGGAGGCAGCAGAAAAGAGCCTGGGCTTAGTAGTCAGTTCAACCCAGGTTCATATCTTGGCTTGGCTACTTATTTTAGCTCTGTGTCCCTGGGCAAGGAACTTGACCTCTGTAAGCCTTAGTTTCCTTGTCTGTAGATAATAGTGTCTAAGGCTTGGGGTTGTTGCAAGCCAGCAATTAAGTGAGATAATTATAATTGTATCTAACACTTATGGAATACTCTGCCTGGTACTGTATTATCTAATTTAATCCTCACAAAAACCCTGTGAGGTAAGTGTAAGTACTATTATTATCACACTCATTTTTCTGGTGAGAAAACCAAGGTACAGAGAGAGATTAAGTCACTTGTTTGAGGTCACACATGTAGGAAGTGGCAAAGCCAGGATTTGAGCCCAGTAGCTTGTTATGGTTCCGTCTTGTTGTCTGGTACAATTATCATGATGGCAACAAGGTGGATGCACAGTGAGGGTGCAGGAAAGGACACTCGGTGGGCACCGGCCTAGAGGGCACCGGCCTAGCTGGGCCCAGAGCAACATAACAGCCCCTCCCCCAAAATACGGGCTAAAAATACCGCAGTGATACTGATAATGACATCGTTGCCACAATCTCCATATTGCCTAGTGCCACTTTCCTCGAGTCTTTTGCCTGTTAACATGTCTAGTCTGTTTGCCTCCATGTGAGCATCTCATGGCTTCTGAGTTTTTCCCTTGGATGGATACTCTTTCTAAGGCATGCCATGCTTGAAATCACAATCCCAGTTCTTCTGAAGGCAGAGGTGGAACATGCTTAGTTTCTCTGCTATAAATCAGCAAGGGAAAAGGGGCAGGTTAGACTCAGAAGTGAAAAATAAAGAACATACTGGGCATGTACCACTCATGTACAAGTCCTGGGGTGGGGGTGGGTGATTAAAATAGAAGGCTGCCTTATTCATGTATTGGATGAGTTCAGCTATATTTCCAGCTGGTAAATATTCTTTTTCCTCTAATCCAAATAGCATGGCCTGTCTCTTCCTTCTACCTAGCCTGAGACCCAAAAAAGCACAACGAGTTTGCCTGGGTAAAATTAACTCCAAGATGAACAAAGTAGAGTCTCCAGGCCGCCTAGAGAAACCTGTCTGTAAACAAGCAAGCGAAGGCATCTCTTCTCTGCCTTCCTGTCAAGAGAAAGAGCCCCAGCTCCTGTTGTGTCCCTAAAGACACGGAGCTTACTCTTTGTCAACCAATCTGTTCCATTTTCAGACAGCTCTGACTTAGAAATTCCTTCCTCATGTTGAGCTTAAGTCAACCAGCTTGGACTTCTCACCCAGCAGGCCTGGTTCCACTGCATGAGGTCCTCAGCCCATTCTTGCACATAACAGTGGCCTTCAGGTGTTTAAAGAGGTCCTATCTTCTTTTCTTTCAAGTCTCCCCCTTACTAAACTTCTCCAGTCCTAAGGCAGTCAGTCTCTCCCGGGGCTTGATTTTGAGTTTTCTCACTTCTGGGAAAGGGGAGAGGAGATCGTATGCAGTAGAGTTGGAGCTGATTATCCATGTCCTCATTAGCTGGCTGTGTCACAAATGAATTCTTTTTACCAAGTTGTCTAATTTCAGATCCAGGCAACCTCAGCTGCTGGAGTGTCCTATGATCAATACCAAGCATGGTGATATCCCAAAGGAGGCTTCAGTGGGGGCCTACATCAAGATCCACACGGTGGAGGAAGGAGAAATCATCGTAAGTGTACAGAGAGCCTTGTTAACGACATAGTGTGTGACATGATGGGCTGGGAGTGTTCAGTAATGCGAGTAACGGTTTAAACACATTCCACTTTATATGTGGTGATATTAACAAACGTTATTGATTTTTTAAAAGATATCATTTAAAATTATTATATTATGCTTATGTTTGTTTTAAGAGTTCTTATATTTAAGAGATGTGTCAAAATATTTACATATAAAATATGACATCCGGAACTTGCTTTAAAATAATTTAGGAATAAACAAGACATGTTGTCCCCTCTCACAACTCCTATTCAACATTATCCTAGAAGTCCTAGCTCATGCATTAAGATAAGGGGAGGAAATAAAACATATACTGATTGGGAAGGAAGAATTACAACTGTCTTTGTTTGCAGATGACATGATTGTCTATGTAGACAATTTTAAAGAATAAAAACAAAAAACTCCTGAAGCTAATTAGTGATTATAGCAAAGTTGCAAGGATAAGGCAATGAACAATTGAAACTTGAAATGAAAAACACAATACCATTTACAATAGCACCAAAAAGTGAAATACTTAGATGTAAATCTAACAAAATATGTTCAGGATCAGTATGCAAAAAACTATATAATGAAAGAATTCAAAGAAGATTTAAACAGCCCCGGCTGGTTTGGCTCAGCGGTTAGAGCCTTGGCCTGTGGACTAAAGAGTCACGAGTTCGATTACAAGTCAAGGGCATGTACCTCGGTTTCGGTTCGTCCCTGGCCCTGGTTGGGTTGTGCAGGAGACAACCAGTCGATGTGGCTCTATCACATCGATGCTTCTCTCTGTCTCTCTCTATCTCCCTCCCACTCTATCTGATAATAAGTACAAAAATATCCTCAGATGAGGAATAAAAAAAACACACAAAGAACTACATTTATGGGGGCATATCAAAGGGACACAGTGACCAATTGAAAGCTGGCCAAGGCTGATGGCCAAAGCTGGAATGATTTGAATATTTGAGCAACAAAATAAAGTAGTATTGATTATAACTCAAAGTATAAAATAAACATCCATGAGTACATACTGATGTAATGCCTAAATAATGAATAAATTAATGTAAAGAAAAGAAGAGACAAACCTCCATGCAAAAGAATTCCAAAGAACATGTAGATACTCTACTCTAAGGGAGAGGATGCATATAACTCACTGCTCCTGAGGTATGGGCCAGACATAACAATTTCCTTCCAACAGGTACAGTACGGAAAGGGGAGAAAAAAAGAATAACTTCACAGTGGTGAAACCTGAGAAACACTACCTCAGCCAGGTGAATGAGGCCAAAGTCAACAGTAATAAATCATGTCACTAGTATGTCCCCTTGCTGTGATATGGTAAAAATGGTATATGTGATGAAAATGGCATTTTTATCTCTGTGGTTCTCTTCTGGAGCCCTGTGTGTGGTCACCTTAGTCTGGGAAGCTGCTCCCTCACCATGCTCTGTCCACTGTTCCTCAGTTACAGTGTCTCCAGGGCCCTCTGCACACCCTTCTCACCCGTGTGTGGTGGGCTCTTAATGCTTCTGCCTGCTGGACTGTATGTCCTCTGAGGCAGGAAGGTCAGCTCAGTACTGTCTGGGAGCGAACCCCGGACTCTACCATGACCCTCAGTCAATGCCAATTGAATATTTTCAAGCTCTTAGGAATCTCTTCCTTAAATTCAGTAAAACTCGGCCTCCTGTAACTTTAATAACTCCCTCCCTTAACCACCCTAAGAACAAAACAGAAGAAATCAGCTTCCTTGCCATGTGGTGGCCCGTAGGAATTTAAAGAATGCTGTGTTGTTTTTCATTCAACATGTATGGAGCCAGGCACAGTGCCAATGCCATTACTTATTTTCTTATTCAGGCAAAACGCCCTCCATTCCTTCAGTGAGGCTGGATGTGGTGTCCAGCCTGCTCACTTCCACTTCGCTGCAGTTTGTCAGTGTTTCCGAGCGAGGTGCTCTGGACTGAACACAGGTCGCCTGAGGCCAGGCCCCTGGGCCCCTGACTGCAGCCTGGCACACTGTGAGGTGGAGGAGCTGGGGATGCTTGGCACCCTGGGAGAATGGAGGCACCAGGGGGCAGGGAAGGCATTGACCCATTTGGTAGACGGCGAGAGGAGCAGGAGACTGTGTAAGATGGCACAGAAACGACAAGATACATACTGTAGAGGGCCTGCAATGCCGCGATAGGGACCTTGCACTTGATTCTCTAGGAAGACCTGGCAGGCTTTGGGTAGGGCTCAGAGCAAGGCCCTGACTGCTTTGTTCCCTACACAGAGCCCAGTGCATAGAAGGCCCCCCACAGGGCCCTTTGATGAAAATGCTTGTGGATATCTCATGGTGTGTGCCTTTGGTAAGACCCTGCTTTCCCCGATTTCAAGGCTCTGGCCTCATTTGTAGGAGAATGAATGGTAACGGCTGTTACTGTATTCATTTACCAGAGGTAGGAGATCACATCTTCCTTATCCTTGAGAACAGGAGGTGGAGCTGAGCTGGACCTGGAAAAAGCAGGGCTTGGGTCCCAGAGTTGAGTCCCAGGTTTTGAGCCAGGAGGCATCAGGCTGTGCTTCTCAACCATCCTAATGCTGCGACCCTTTAATACAGTTCCTCATGTTGTGGTGACCCCCAACCATACAATTATTTTCGCTGCTAGTTCATATCTGTAATTTTGCTACTGTTATGTCTTAGGCGACCCCTGGGAAAGGGTTGTTCGACCCCCAAAGGGGTCGCGACCCACGGGTTGAGAACCGCTGCATTAGGAGAACCAGCTTCTCCAGGGAACAGGCAGGCTGAGGCCTCAGAGATGGTCATGACTGGGCAGGCCAGGGCTATGGGCAGGGCGGAAGGGAGATGACTGCAAGCCGGTGTTGTCTTATTCTCATTTTGCTTCTAATTAGCTAGCTGTGTGGCCTTGGGGAAATCACTTTATTTTGCTGAATCTGTGTCCTCATCAACAAATGAGATTCACCTGGGTGCGTTGCCGGCTGTAATGTTCTGATTCCATTGGAGCATTCAGCATATATTTCCTGAGCATCTACCATGTTCCAAGCATGGCGTAAAGTAACATTGTTGGAGATCTAGTCTGGAAATATACAATCGGTATACAGATAAATTAGCAGACACATAGAAAGTTGCAAATTGCTGCTAGGGACAAAACAGAAAGCTGGGTGGGGTGGGCTTCTTAAGCAGGGTGGTCAAGGAAGACTACTCTCAGGTGGTAATATTTAAGCTGAGACCTGAATGATGAAAAGAACAAACTATGGATGACCTGAGGGAAGAGTGAGCCAGATAAAGGAACAGCAAGTTCAAAGCCTGAGGTGGGAAAGAGCTTGGCATGTTGAGGGGATTGGGAGGGGGAGCAGCACGGCCGAACAGAGCAGCCAAGGCGCAGGCAATGTGAAGCCAGGCTGGAGAGCCCTGGAAGGGTGAGAGCCCAGCCTGGTGGCCACACCGAGCTTTGTTCCATCCCAGTGCTTGGGGAAGCTATTTGAAGAGTCTGCAGAGAAAGGACCTGACCCCGCTGGGAGTGTCGGGGTGGCTTGGAGGTGGACAGGAGTGCCGGAAGACAGTGCTGCTCTTAGTGAGGCCCCGAACACATCACTGGGCTCAATACTGGCTGCAACACTTTCTGTTCTTAGGAAGGTTACATAACCTCTTGGTGCCTCAGTTTCCTCACAGAATAGTGGTTAAAGCATGGACTCTGAAGACAGACCACCTGGGTTCAAATCTTAGCTTCAGTGCTCCCATGCTGTTATGTTGGCCAAGTCTCTGAACCTCAGCAGAATCATCTATAAAAGGAGAGTAACAGTAGCACTCGCCTCATGGGGCGGCTATGGAGGGTTACATGTGTTAATATACATGAAAGTTACTGGAGGGGCTGGTCCTATCATCATATCCCTATCATCATCATTTGCTGTTATCATTAGTTACAAGGTGTATAACCTTTAGCAAGTCAGTTCCCTTTTCTGAGCCTCGTTTTCCACATTTGAGGATGATAATCTCTATCTCCTAGAGTGGTTGTGAGGATTAAACACACATGTGTATATATATTTCTACCATTAGTAGAGCTGGCTATTCTGGATTCCATGCAAGGCCTGGCACTATAGAAGGGCCTTCATGCCCACCATACCGAGCATAACTGATGTGTGAGGTGCTCTGTATCCTTACACATATCATCTTGTTTGGACCTTCAAAAGCTTCATAAGAAAAAGAACATATCGCCCTGGCTGGTTTGGCTCAGCGGTTAGAGCGTCGGCCTGCGGTCCAGAGAGACCTAGGTTTGGTTCCCGCTAGGGGCACGTACCTCGGTTGCAGTTTGTCCCTGGCCCTGGTTGGTCGTGCGGGTGGCAGCTACTCGATGGGTTCCTTTCACGTCGATGTTTCTCTCTCTCTCTCTTTCCCACTCTATCTGAACAAAAAATGGAAAAAGGTCCTCTGGTGAGGATTAAAAAAAAAGAAAAAGAACATATCTCCATTCTAGTCTTACCAAGAGAGACAGGCCAGGGCTCAGAGCACTGAAGCGTTTGTGGATGGTCATACTTCAAGGTCTAGAACCCAAATGGTGATGGTGGTGGTGAGGGCTCTTCCAAACCCCACTTCACATCTTTCAAATTCAGGATCCTTCAGAGACACTGGGCAGGTAATTCTCACCTTTGTTTCACATTTGAGCAAACAATGGCCCGGGGAGGTATAACTTGCCCAAAGTCACATAAACACTTGGAAATTCCTCCTGAAGCCAGGATTATTCCCAATCCCAGGTGACCTTCTTAGAGCAGATCTCTTGGTTTATGGCCTCCTTTCTCTTTACCCCATGACAGCAAAACATTGTAGGCTCTGGGGCCACTGACCTCCCCTTCCCTCCTTCCCTGCATCTTAAATAATAGCCGAGAGGCTAAGGAGTGAGCGTTGGATTGACAGTTTACCAACAAGGGCTTTGCCCCATCTCAGGGTGTCTCCTTAAAAGGGGGGTGTAAAACAAACAGGTATGCCTGTTGACCTCCATCCCCCTTCCAGATATAACCAAAAAGGAATCCATGCCAAGGAGCCAAAGAAGCATCATAAGCTGCAAGAGAGGAGGACAGTGGTCTCCAACGTCTATGTGGGATGGAGAAAGGACTGAGGCTCAGTGGGAACACCCATTTATGAGCAGAGACCTGCAGAAAAGGATGGGAGAGGGTGGTTGCTGCAAAATGGAAGATATAGAAGAGGGGGACTAGCTGTTTGATTTTTTGTCATAGTTCTAAGGAAGAGAAAATGGGCTTACCTGGCCCAAGGAAGAGTTGAGATTGGATATTGGGGGAGACTTGTAAAATGTCATCCCCTGGAGAGTGACTATGCAAGTGTGATGCTGGAAGAGAGCCTAGATGGAAAAAACAAGGCCCCAAACAGGAGAGAGCCTGGAGGTAGGATCTTTGGCAAGTCAGAGTGCCTTAAGGGCTCCTCTCATCGGAGGAGTCGGAGGAGTAGGAGGAGTCAATGTCATTTAGCAAAAGGAGCCCTAGACTTTTCCCATCATTTGCCAAATGACCCCTGATGGATTCACTTCCTGTTTGGGGCCTTGTTTTTTTCCATCTAGAATATCTGCTGGTAGAGTGGATGGTCTCTGAGGTCTAACTTTCTGGGACTTTTTTCCTCTAGGGCCTTCACCAGATCCTCCTCCCAGACAACCAACAAGACTTGCGGCCCTTGATCCTCGTGAGCATGGGAGTTGAGTTGATAACAGTGAGGAAAGAAAAATTTTGTGAACTGATTGACAGTAAGGTAACAGAAAAGTTGTCCAGGTTCAAGATCGGGTACCTCAGGTCAGTGCTGGGTATGTGTGTACACCCCACCAGATCAAACGAACACATTTTTCACCTGTTATTTTAGTAAAAGAAGGAAAAAAATGATAATACCTAATGCTGACAAGGGTGGGTGAAAACTGGTAGTTGTGCCCTAGCCGGTTTGGCTCAGCAGTTGGAGCGTTGGCCCGTAGACCAGAGAGACCTGGGTTCGGTTCCCACTAAGGACACGTACCTCGGTTGCAGTTTGTCCCTGGCCCCAGTTGGGGTCGTGTGGGTGGCAGCCGGTCTATGTGTCTCTCTCGTGTTGATGTTTCTCTCTCTCTCTTCCTCCCTCTCTATCTGAAGATAAACGCAAAAAAAGAAACTGGTAGTTGTTGCTACACTCTAAATTGACTCAGTCCTTTGGGTAATAATTTTAGCATTATGTTTCAAGTGCCAAAAAACTGTTCCTACTTTTGGGAGCAGTGGTCCACCTGTGAATTTATCTTTATATAACTAAGTTAAGGAGAAAGCTCTGTTCATAGCAGTCATATTCATAATAGAAAGAAAAACCACCACCACCACCACCCACACGTTACACTAAGGGGATAGTTTAGAAAATTGTGGTCCATTCTCTTGATAGAATATAACTTTCATTAAAATTATAAGTTTAATGGCTCTAATAGCAAGAGAGTGAAACGGGTGATATAATGACAATGGAAAGGATAGGGTACAAAATTGTGTGTACTATGACTACACCTTTGTAAAACACAAGAGAAAAATCTAGAAGGAAATAAGCAAGATGATAATTGTGGTATTGCTACATTTGTCATTGTCACTCTGGAATGTGGGACTAAAGGAACTTTCTAGTTATAGCTATATATTCCTCTCATGTTTGTTTTTTCAAATGAGTATGCATTGCTTTAGTAATGAGGGGGAAAAGATGTACTTGGTAAAAGTTGTGTCAGGGTAGTAAATCAGTGGATTTTTTTCCTCTTTATTCTCCAAATTTTCTGTAATGATGATATATTACTTTCATAATTTAAAAAGATAACTATCTATCTTGAAAGATTCAGTAAAATATATATTTTTTTACTTTTCCCTAGTTTTCAAATTGTCCAGAGTAAATACTTTTATAATGTTAAAAATAACCTTTAATATTTTTTTGGAAAAATTAATCTGTTGGCCACACCAGTTCACAAAACTGTTTTGATCTCACACTGTTGCTAAAAAGCATTTGAGTGTATTTTCTCTGAGAATATAATTTTTATTATATCCATATATTGCTATATTAAATACCACATATATTATAAATATAAAAATTAGATCTTTAGCCCTGGCCGGTTTGGCTCAGCGGTTAGAGCGTCGGCCTGTGGTCCAGAGAGACCCGGGTTTGGTCCCCGCTAAGGGCACGTACCTCGGTTGCAGTTTGTCCCCGGCCCTGGTTGGGTCATGCAGGAGGCAGCCATTCTATGTGTCCTTTTCACGTCTATGTTTCTCTCTCTCTCTCTTCCTCTCTCTCCTCCCGCTTTATCTGAACAAAAATGGAAAAATGTCCTCGGGTGAGGATAAAAAAAAAAATCAATAAAAACATATTTTAAAAAAAATTTAGATCTTTAGCCCGGCCGGTGTTGCTCAGTGGTTGAGCATCGACCCATTCACCAAGAGGTCACCAGTTCGATTCCCAGTCAGGGCACATGTTGTGGGCCCAATCCTCAGTGGGGGCATGCAGGAGGTGGCCAATCGATGTTCTCTTACCACTGGTAATCCTGCTTCAGTCTCCTCCTCACTAGATCCTTTGTACATACTGTGCTCTTGCTGAAACCTAAATCTGGCTGTTACACTCCTGCTTAAAATCTGTCAGTGGTATCTCACTGACTATAGGATACAGTGCATACTCTATGCCACATAAAAGTTCTTCATAGTCTGACCCTTCAATTCCCCTACAGCACCTCCTGTTTCCTAAACTATGGGACACATTCACAGAAGGTGTACAAGATGATTTTAGGTGGCTCGTTGATTGACATTGTTTTAGCCGCTATGTATTTATTCTAGTGTGAATGAGAAAAATAACAGGACTCGCTCACTGAACCCGTGATCTGACAGATTTTTTGCTTAGAACAAAGCCAAAGTAAATATCTAAGTAAAAGAAACTAAGTAGATTTAAGGAAAAAAATCCTTAGTTAATTAAAGAACAGATAATATGTAGATAGGGCTCAAATTGGGGCAGTTTTCTGAGAAAAACAATTTGGGAAACAGTGGTGGCTCCTTGAAGTCCAAAGATGCCACAGTTCTCTGGTTCCTGTGTACTACCAATATAGACAATGGCTATTAAGAGCCACCTACCCAAGGAATGATTTAAGGAGCCTTAACTCCTTGCAGAATGCCTGGCACATGACGGGTATCAGTTAATGCCTGTTGAACTGAAATTCAGAAAAGGCTCACATAGACTCGAGGGTGGCAGGTGTTGGGGCTGCCCAGTCAGCATTTTGCTGCAATCATCTATAATGCTGACAGATTGAATTCTGGCTTACTCATTAATTGTTGAACTCATGGTTTTCTAGACTGCTAAAGCAGGCAGAAACCATCTCCATTAGCTAGCTCAAATCCTCCATGTTTTTGCTGAGGACTGTGAGGCCCAGGAAATGGGCTGTGACATCCTGTAGGTCACGTAGGCCTCGCGAGACACCTGTCCTGTGAATGCTACAGGCTAGGTAAACGGAAACCTCTCTCCCTGTGCTTCGTACGAAGCACAGGGAGTGCCACGAAGAATATCATCACAGGGAAGAAGGGAACTCTTGAAGGGCCAAATGAAGAGGAGCCTAAAAACCAAAGCACAGGGGGAACTAGTGTTGGGATTGCCCAGTGAGGATGGGGGTTAAGGGAATCATAGGGCCAAGGATAGATGAAACTTTCTGTTCAAGTGAGGCCTCTAGAAGAGCTATCTTGTTTAGTGAAAAACTAGACTAGAAATTGGCGTGGTAAGTGCTAAGTCAGAGTTAGTGTTGTTGTTGTTGTTTATTATGTAAGAAATTGGAAGTTAATGGAAATATTTAAGTGAAGACTTTTCAGTGGTGAGCTGGTGAATGTTTAACAACAAACTCTCTGGGAGGTGGAGGTAACCTGGATTTGAAGAGTGTGTCGATTTCCGTGATGTACACACTTCCACCATGCCCAGTTTGAAGCTACCAACCTGATGTCACTGAACATGCACTTGAGGTGCACACAATCAGCTCTCACAAGCTGGTGGGAGCTGACTTTGATAACACCACTGAGACCAATAGGACTAGCTTGTAGCCCACTCTGACCTCTGGATTTTTTTTTCTTTTTTAGTATATTTTTATTGATTTTTTTTTTTTTTTTTTTAGAGAGAGGCAGGAGCGCCCTGGCCAGTTTGGCTCAGCGGTTAGAGCGTCGGCCTGTGGTCTGGAGAGACCCGGGTTCAGTTCCCGCTAAGGGCATGTACCTCGGTTGCAGTTTGTCCCCGGCCCTGGTTGGGTCGTGTGGGTGGCAACCACTCGATGTGTCCCTTTCACGTCGATGTTTCTCTCTCTCTCTCTCCCTCCCACTCTATCTGAACAAAATATAAAAAAGAGAGAGGCAGGAGGGAGAGAGATATGTAGAAACATGGATGTGAGAGAGAAACATCTGTTGGCTGCCTCCTGCACGATCCCTACTGAGGATCAAGCTCGAAACCTGGGCATGTGCCCTGACCAGGAATCGAACCGGGCCCTCTCAGGCCATGGGGGACGTTCAATCCACTGAGCCATACCGTCCAGGCCAACCTCTGGATTTACTAAATTGCTCTCTATGGATCAAAATGGACTCTGTTCTGGTCAAATAATGTAGCCAGAAGAATGTACTAATTCGTTTGTGGTTTATTAGGCTTGCCTCCTTAGGTGAAAGTACAGGTGAGTCAGTAGACATTGAACTTGCCCTTCCCTTGCTGTGGTCTCGGAAGGAAATAAGCCAATGAGTGCTGAGCCCCCTCACATGTTATAGGGTAGGGGGCAGAGTAGAGCCAGGATACCAAGGCCAGTCTAAGGCAGCAATCTGCTTTCTTTCTTTATAGATATGCCTGTTCTGGACATTTCGTATAAGTGGCATCCTACAATATGTGGTCTTTAGCATAATATTGTCAAGTTTCACTCATGTTGCAGCATGTATCAATACTTCATTCCTTGTTATTGTCAAAATAACATTCTATTGCATGTGTATGCCGTACTTTATCCGTTCATCAGATGATGGACATTTGGGTTGTTTCTACTTTTTGGCTATTATGAATAATACTGCTGTGAACATTCATGTGCAAGTTTTGTGTGGACGTATTTCCATTTCTCTTGGTTATATACCTAGGAGTAGACTTGCTGGGTCATAAGTTAACTCTGTTTAACCATTCGAGGAACCGCCAGACTGTTTTCCAAAGTGGCTGCTCCAGTTTACATTCCCATCAGTCATGTATTGGAACCTTTGTTCTAATATTTTCACATCCTCATCAACACTGATTGTCTTTTGAATTATAACCATTCTAGTGGGCATAATTGGTATCTCACTATGGCTTTGATTTACAATTCCCTGATGGCTGATGGTCACATATGTAATTTAAACATTTCAGTGGCCATATTAAAGTAAAAAGAAATGGGTGAGAGTATTTTAAATAGTGTTTTATTGAATTCAGTATATCTAAAATATCATTTTAACATGTAATCAACATGAAAATTATTAATGAGATACTCTACATTCTTGTTTGTTGTTGTTCTAAGTGTTTGAAATCAGGTGTAAGTTTTATACTCACAGCACCTCTCTAATTCAGACTGGCCACACTTCAGGTACTCAGTAGACACAGCTCACAGGCATTGTGTGGAACAGCACAGGCCCAGGGGAAGAAAGTAGGGAAAGGGAAAGGAGGTAGAGAGAAGAGTCTGGGAAAAGGCACAGAGGTGGGAAGGAGCACATTGTGTTTCAGGGTTGCAGAGTGATGGGAGGCAAGGCTGGAGGGGCAGGGGGACCAGGGGAGCTGGTGCGGGAACCTCAGCATCTGTGCCTTACCCTCAGTGACGACGATATGTGCCAAAAGTTCCTCATGGAGAACAGCTGGGATGTCTTTCGAAAGGACTTTTTACGCCTGCTGCTGAAGCCTCGCCGGGGTCCACCACCCCCCTCAGTGCGGAACAAGAAGAACGAGATCTACAACCCCAAGTCTCTGACACTGGATCTGTGTAGTTTCAACAAGGAGACTAACCCTACTTATCCAATTTTTATGGCACCCCAGAAAAACCTCCCCCCATTGAGGGTTGTCCAAACCATCACAGCTCCGCGGTACAAAATCCAGGAACTCCTGCCTCGATACAAGAATGCAGGGGTCCTTGTTTAGACCCAATAAAGGGTGTAGGTTTGGCCACCATGTTTCCTGAATGACCACCATGGGAGTTGTGGGGCTTGGAATGGGGGATGCTGGGACTGAGCTGTGGGTCTGGAGAGATATTTAGGGACAGCAGCTAGGGCACCCTCTCCCTTGACACTTGTGGGGCTGAGTGAGTGGCGTGAGTAGAGGCTGGTATGAATGGGTTAATCACTGGGGATGATCTCAGGGTGGGAGGGTCTAATCTGACAAGATGGATGGGAGGCACAGAGGGGCTCAAACCAAAGTGAGCAAGACTGGGGTTGTGAACTCAAATGCCTTCCAAGGCCAGATGAGTAAGCCCGCAGAAGGACTGGGGAGGCAACAGGGACTGGTGGGGACTGGTGCATACATTCCCATCGAGATGGAGCAGCTACTTCTTAGACCCAGTCAATTGACGCCATGCCAGGAAATAAGTGCAGGCCTGGTACCGCTGGTCTGTCTTTCAAGAGAACCAAGAAACCCAATATTTACGAAGATTCCTACTGGTTTTTAAATGTGAGCAACTAATTCACATTGTTTTTGAAATACCGTGTTAGGCAAACAAAACACATATGTGGGCTGTGTTGGGCCTTCAGACTGCTATTTTGCCAATGCTCATCAAGCACCTCTGTCAGACTTACAGGGCATTGCCAGGGACTGGAGTGAGGTGTGACTGTGGAGGGGGGTATAAGAAGCCAGAGAGACAGGTGGGCAGCAAGAGAATCAACATTCTGGGTCGAGGATGAAGAGGAACAAGCAGCCTGAGAGAGAGAGGACGCAGGCCAGAGACAAGGAGGCAGTTGGTTGCACTTAAAGAGAGTTCCTCAGACCCTCTGGGGACAAGGTTGAATGCAGCCACCTGTCATTGACCTGGGTCAGCTCTCCTGTTGGTAGCCCTGGGCCTAGAACTCAAGGTTCCTGTCTTCTTTCAGCCTCAGCACCCCAAACCCAGCACCCAGTCACCTCTTTCCGATGGGAAATCCATAGTCCAGCTTTGACAGTGCCAAGGGCACTGGTGGAGGCCATGACAGCACAAGGGCCTGGCCTGGGGCCGCCGAGAGAGATGTGAGCCTTCCCCACCTGCACACTCCAGCACTCAGCTAGCCCACCCCAGCAAGGAGTGGAGTCTGAGGGACACCTGAGTGCCGAGCTAGACATTGAGAGCTCTGGAGAACCTGGCCCTGTTTCCATCTCACTGGACCCCCTTGAGCACACCTTGAGCAAGTTGGACAAGATCAATGGTTTTCATGAGTGAGGGGTGAGTATAGTTTGAAAAACATATTCAACATTATACTTTTATATGTTGAATTTAAAACTTTTTATGTTGCACAGCAAAGGAGGCAGCGTATGGAATTTTTTGTCACAAGTGAGTGTGGGTATAAAAGGGTAGAGGAGCCGTGGACTCAATCAGCTCATCTCCCCTGACAGCTCCAGAAGGTCAAGAAGTCTGAGGCGCCTGCAGTAGTCCTGGGAGCGCTGTCTATGGCCTGCAAGGATGGGGTGACGCTGTTTTGGAACCAGGTAAGAGGGAGTGTCTGACTTTACTTGGGATCTCTTTGCAGGTAGGGTTGTGACTCCAAGATGATGGTGAACATCTTGTGCATTCCCCTGACATTTATTTATTAAGCACTTGCTCCATAGCAGATTCAAAGGAGGATAAGGGGCCGTCTCTGTACCCTCTTATTCTCTAGGTAAACCCTTTCTGTAAAGAGCCAAATAACAAATATTTTAGGTGTTGCCAGCCATGTAGTCTCTGTTGTAACATATAGTGTTCCAATAAAACTTTATTTACAAAAACAGGTGGCAGGCCAGATTTGGCCTGTGGGCCATAATTTGCTTACCCCTGCTCCAGGCAATAGGGAGCTCTTGAAGGTTCTTGAGCAGATATGATATGGGGAGAGAAACTTACTGTTGAGCACTTATTCCATGGCAGCCATCTCGCTAAGCATCTGACTGTGGAATCTGATGACCTTTGGGCTAAGATGGTAGCTCTGCTACTCAACAGCTGTTGAGAATTAAAAGAGTTGGTACATGTTCGGGATGGTAGAGGACTGTATTCACCAAGACCCCTGGATCCCATTTCCTGGAAAGTGAGAGAAAAAATTCCAGAACAGGAGGCAGATATGTCTTCTAGGAGAGTGGCGGGTGACAAAATGGACTAGAAGGGCAACCTAGGAGTCAAGGCACTGCGTGTGGGAGAGAGGACGTGGGGGCTGGGTTTCCGGAAGTCTTGAAGGGAGCAAAGCTTTCTCTGAAGTCACTATGTAACAGAAGAACCCGAGAATGAGAAAAGTCTTAAGAGGATTTCAAAGAGCTTTTCTGTGCATTGAGAATATGTTTCTCCTTTGGCATTGTTTTGAGAAACCAAATAAACATTTGCATCTCTCTTAATTAGGTTTTATGCAGTATTGCCATTTCTCTGACTTCAGTAACCAAGCAGAGAGTGGGCAGCACGAGGCCCTAGTTTTATCTGGGTTACACATGTACTGTCCCTGGTACATAGTAAGTGCTCCATACACATCAGATGTTATTTTGACCAAGTTCAGTTAGGCCATCTGGAGATTCTCCTCCCTTCTCAATGGAATAGGAAAGTGAGGCTTTGGAAGGCTAAGCCTTTATCATTAGTGATAAAAGCCATCCTCAAGAGATTTGGAGTAAGGTGATCCTGGCTGGCATCTTGCCCAGCCCCACCCTCTTCACTAATTGAAATAGTTACTGTCAACATTAAAGGGCAGCCCGGGATGGAGAGAGTAGAGGCAGGTCACCAAAGCATTAATTAGCATGCACTGTGGGTGAGGGTGCCGTTGCAGGAAGGATGGTTGCTTGTAAGTGTGTGAGAGCCTCCTAGTTTCCAGGCTGTGAACTGCAGAATGAGCAGTGGTTCTCTAGGTTCCCTCCCTTGGCACAAGCGTTAGCAACAGACCATGTTTTCAGGGCTGTAGAGGGCCTCACAGCCCACCTGGGCACAGATCCAGGGGTCAGGAAGCCCACAGTGATCTGCCATGAGGGAGAAGGGCCAGGGCTCAGGTACTGAGTACCCAGCTTGTACCAGGCATTCATTATGTGAAGCACTCGGCAGAGGCCATCACTGCCCTGAAAATATTTCCTGGCAACTAACGAGGTGCATTATATCTCCATCTGACAGATGAAGAGCCTGAAGCCCAGAGAGGCAAAAGCCTGTCTAAGCAATCAGGTTGTGGTTCCAGGTTGTGCTTTCTTTGCAACCCTGGCACCCTCCTAGGCAGCCAGCACTCAAGTGCATGAACTGTTACACCATGTTATTTGTCTATCCCATGCACGCCACCTGTTTTCAAAAAAGAAATTCTGCGCGCACAACCCAGGAACTGTGCTGGGGAGAATATAATCACCCTCTGGAATGATTTTCCATATGTAAATAAGCACAGTCATACTTGGAGAGGCACACCCAGGCCACTTGAGCCAAAAATGTAGCCCCCAGCACTAACAGCTTCCACTGTTTTGGGGAAAATGAAACACTTATTTGAAAAATAAACATGGGCGATGTTGCCAGTACTTGTTATAGGATGTGTTTAAGATCCCATCTTGGGGTTGGAAGAAAAAACATTCTTTTAAATCCTCTATTTCTTTTATAGAACTCATGGAAAAATCTTACCTTCCAGTTATGGGACATCTAAGGGGTGAGATGGGTCACTTTGCACCTCCCAGAGTACCACCAGAGGCCATTTTGCTGTGATGCTTTTCTATGTGGGGATTTAAGGGTTTAACCACAAGGGTGCTGAGTTGCAGAATCTGTAATCACCGATTCAGAGCCGACAGTGAGGTTGAGTAGTTTCTAGGTGCTGGGAAGCAGCAGAAAGCTGAAACACGGGTTTTTCATGGCTGCTGAAGGCTGTGGGCTTTAGCCCTGGGGAGAGAGCTGGGGGCAATGGGAAGGTGGCACGTTGGGATATGTGCTGAGCCAGGCCCCTTCCCTTCCTGGAGCTTTACTGCTATCATTTGTAAAATTTGAGGGGTCCAGTAGGTGTTCTCCAAGCCTCCCCCCAAGCCCAGGGCTGTGCAGGGTCCCTGACCCTCTCTCTTCTTTTGCCTCTACCTATTCCCCTACTTCCAAAGCCACCCCGCCCACAACAGAAAATCAGAATCAAGAAGAAAATGGATTATTGAGACCCTTGGTGAAGTGTGAAAATGAACTGTGGGTGAGATAATGATATTGTATTAATGTCAAATGTCCTGATGTTGATAATTGTACCATGTTTATGTAGAAGGGTCTCCTTACTCTTAAGAAATACACACACAAATACTCGGCGATTAAGGGAGATGATTTCTTCAATTTACTCTCAAATGATTTAGAAATATATTTGTATATTTAGAATGGCAAAGCAAATACAGCAAAATGATAATTGGCGAATCTGGGTGAAGGGTGCTCAGGAGTTCTTTAAACCATTTTTGCAATATTTAAAAAATTATTTTTTAATTTTATAATATGCATAAAATTTACCCTCACAACCAATTTTAAGTGTACAGTCAGTTCCGTGGCATAGGTACATTCACACTATTGTGCAACCATCACCACCATCCATCTCCAGAACTTTTTCATCTTGCAGAACTGAAACTCTGTACCCATGGAATAATAACTCCCCCTTCCCCTTCTCCCGGCCCCTGGCAACCACCATTCTACTTTCTGTCACTATGAATTTGATTACTTTAAGTACATTATATAAGTGGAATTATACAATGTTTGTCTCTTTGTAAATGTCTTATTTCACTTAGCTGTCGAGGATAATTCGTGCTGTAGCAGAATTTCCTTCCTTTTTTTTAATCCTCACCCGAGGATATTTTTTCCATTTTTTGTACAGATAGAGTGGGAGGGAGAGAGAGGAAGGGAGAGAGAGTGAGAAACATCGACGTGAAGGGACACATCGAGTGTCCCATGAAGGGACTCCCGCACGACCAACCAGGGCCGGGGACAAACTGCAACCGAAGTATGTGCCCTTAGCGGGAACCGAACCCGGGTCTCTCCGGACCGCAGGCTGACGCTCTAACCGCTGAGCCAAACTGGCCAGGGCTTTCCTTCCTTTTTAAGGCTAAATAATATTCCATTGTATGTATAGACCACATTTTGTTTATCCACTCATCTCTCTATGGACACTTGGGTTGCTTCCACTCCTTGGCTATTGTGAATAATGCTGCTATGAACATAGGTATAGAAGTATCTTCACAACCCTTCTTTGAATTCTTTTGATATATACTCAGAAATGGAATTGCTGTATCATGTGGTAATTCTATTTATAATTTTTTGAGGAACTATCATATTATTTTTTTAATTTAATTTTTTAATAAAATTGATGACCTACCTTATTATTTTTTATAGTGGCTATGTCATTCTTGCAACTTTAGTGGGACATGATTTTAAAATAAAAATAACAGCTGAAAAAAATAGGGGAAGCTAATACAGATATGCATAAATATTAGATCTAAATGAGTTTGTAATTTAAAATCTGATGATAGGCTCCCTGATGTATGGGTATAAGCTCCATGATGATTATAAACCTCGTTTTGAGTTCCCCGGTGGCCAAGGCAAAAAGAGAAACATGGTATTTTATTATTTGAAAGGAAGAATCTGCTCAGTCTCTCAGGAGGTTGGGGAAGTTTATCCTCACTCCCTTTTTTCATATGTGCCTTCTACTCAATTTACTGTGTGCTTCCCTCTTCGGGGGTACTTTAAATTAGGGGTCTGCCTGTTTCTACTTGACTCTAGACTTCTCAGCCTCAGGTCCCTTCTAATAGCACAAAGTTGGTTGGCTGCAGATGAAGGTTGTTCCCCCTCATCCCTATCACAGGGAAGAAGGCAGTAGACTCAACAACACTGATCATCTATGATTTTAATGGATAGAAACTGACCACCATATCTTTTCCTGAGAGCAGGTTTTTATCTTGAAAGATACTGTCGGGAAGTCCTTCATCTGGTCATAACTTAAAACTCATGCTACTGCTAAAGACTTTCTCTTGTTTTATGTAAGGTGGAGATGGAGAGGAACTGCTTTTCTGGAAGCCTCCTCCAAAGGATGCCAGCCCTTTTCCTGTCCATCACAGAGCAGGATTATGAGCAGGAGTTCTGGATTTAGGCTGCACTGTTCCAGACCAGCTGCAGCACATTAGGTAAGTGGTTGCTCTTTGCCTCAGTTTCCCAATATGGGAATAATAAAAGCATGTCTCATGAAATCATGAAAATTAACTTAAGTAGTCCATATACAACGTTAAATTCAGAGTTTGACTTACAGAAAGCAGATGCCTGGGGTGGGAGAAAAAGGGGCAGCCAGGGACAAAATGGTACAGATACCATGAACCCTGCAGACCAACAGGGAGGCCAGCCCTGCTCACAGAGGAGCAACCAAAGAGTCCTACATATGGGTGTTTCTCAGTTTAATAGATCACAGCAGCTGGGGGATTTGCACACGTAAAGAGCGCTTACCAAGGAGTCATTCTCATTTACACATTGTTCTACTAGCATGCAATGATTAGCAGCTATGCCTTTTTGAGAGAAGGTCCCTGGAGCTTCTCTGTTGCCTGCCTACCTCCTCCTCATCCTCCCTTTATGCCAGTGCTTGTCTGCTGTCCCTCAGCCCCTGGGCTCTTGGGCATCTCCACTAGACAGGGAAGTGTGTGGGAGCTCACAGGACTAAACTAAAATCTAGATGGATTCAATCAGTTTGTCTCCAATCAGCAGATTTGCTCTGGGGAGGAGTTTGTCAGGGTTTGGAGATACAGCACCAAACCAAACAAAGTCCTTGGCATCAAGGAGTTTACATTCTGGATTGGTAGTCAAAGAACACAAAAAATGTACAAGAAAAATCAGGGTAAGTGGGGGATGCAGGTGGGTTAGAGGATACTACTTTGTAAAGGGTAGTCAAAGAAGGTTTCTGCGAGACTCTGCAGTGAGGGGATGGGCTGTGCAGGTATCTGGGGGAAGAACATTCCAGGCAGAAATAGGATGCATGGCATGGTTAAATAACAGCTAGAAGGTTGGTGTGGTTAGCACGGAGTCAAAGGAGAGAGAGATGAAAGGAGGCAGGGCAGAGGGGGACTGGGGCCAGCTTGTGAGCATGTGAAGGGAGGATTTGGAAGTTCTCAGCAGAGTAGTATGATCTGTACAGACTTGGTGTTTAAATACAGGTTGGAAGGGGGAGGTGGGGTGAGGGGCAGTGACATAATCCAAGTAGGAGATTATGGTGGCTCGGATCAGAGTGGCTATGGTGGAGGTGTCACGATGTGGCTGATTCTGGACATATTTTGATGGTAGAACTGATGAGGGTTTGCTGATGGACTGAATGTGAGGAATGAGAGAGAGGAGTCAAGGATGACTCCAAAGATTTTGGTTTGAGCAAGTGGAAGGTGGAGTGGCCATTTCCTGAGTCGGAGAAGGCTGTAGGAGAAGCACATTTAGGAGTAAACATTAGAATGTGGTTTTAAGTTTTTAAAAAAAGAGACATGAGGACTTAGTATGTATAAAGCTGTTAGAGCAGTACCGGGCACTTCATGCATACTCATGCAAGGTCGACCTCGTCCCCATTTTTATTTATTTATTTAAAAAAATTTTTTTTTTCCTTTATTGATTTTAGAGAGAAAGGAAGTGAGAGGGAGAGAGAGAAAAAAAACACTGATGAGAAAGAACATCAATTGACTGCCTCCTACATGCCCCCAACTGGGGTTTGGGCCCATAACCTGGGCATGTGTTCTGACTGAGAATCAAACCAGCGACCTTTTGGTGCATGGATCGATGCTCAACCACTGAGCTGCACTGGCCGGACTGTCCCCATTTTTATTTATTTTATTATTATTATTTTTTCTATCCTCACCCGAGGACATTTTTGCATTTATCTTCAGATAGAGCAGGAGGGAGAGAGGGAGGGAGGGAGGGAGAGAGAGAGAGAGAAACATCGATGTGAGAGAGACAAATTGAGTGGTTGCCACCCACACAACCCCAACCCAGGTTGGGGACAAATTGCAACCCAGGTACGTGCCCTTAGCAGGAACCAAACTCAGATATGACTTGCAAATGTTTTCTCCAGTTCAATAGGTTGTCTTTTCACTCTGTTGATTGCATCTTATTGCCTTTTAATAAGTATTTTGTGAGGAGGTACTTAGAATATTCTCTTATACTTTTCATTTATTCATTTATTTATATCAGCATTGGACTCATGGTTTATTTTATTTAATGTGTTATAATCTGTTATCATTCTATATTTGATGCACAAATTGTCAGATTTGGCCAATAGAAGTCACTTCCAGCTGGCTTCTGTTGTGCTTTTTACATGTTCCTATTATTTCTGATCACTTCCTTGTTTTCTGCCACAACACGATATTCTAGGATCAGCTTGTACTTTCCTGCTGCAGCCCTGGAAGTAACCATTTCTCCAAGGACCTGTTCCTTTTAGTAGAGAATGGTATTGAGAAGCTTCTGGCCCTGGCCCTGGCGGCTGATGAAATTTGTGGCTTTAAAAGACCCACCATCTGATCTGGAAAGGCAAACCTCATCAGCCAGGCAGGCTGAGGCCTAGATGGGATCATTTGGCTGTTCCCCAGTTAGTCACAGCATAGATGAGAGCTAAGGCCTCTGACTGTCTACCTGTCCATTGTTCTTTCCCTGTCAATACATGTTGCTAGCTGTAAGGTGTGATGATCCCAGTGTGGCTGTCCCCACTCTGAACCTCTTTCCTCTTCTGTCCACAGAGGACTGTGGGTCCTGGGGGTCAAGGACAGCTTTTCTGAGAGCTAGCCTATCTCTTAGCTTTCTATGAGACTTACCTCTCCCAGGAGACCATTATGGTGAACCCACCTTAAACCACAGAGGAGAGGTTCAGCTTTTCTCCCCAGCTCTGGTAGATTTGGGCTTGCAGACTGGTCCCAACCTGGGATGAGTTGTGCAAGTGCACCTGGTTCTCCTCCCTCAGACCAGGGATTCAAGGCATATGTGCCTCCCTGAAGCCCATCTCAGTCAGCTGACATGTCTCATAGGGGCATCAGCAGGAGAGATGGAGTGAGGCCTGATTCTGGGTTGAGATGATGGGAAGGGCCTACTCTACCTGCTCTCACTGGCTCTGAGCCTACCCAGGTTATACCAAGAGCACCCAGGAAACACTAGAAACACTACCTCCCCACAGTCGGAGGCATATCTTGAGCCTCATCTCAAAGTTGGGAGTAAGAACCCCTCTGATACTCCATTAGAGGTTTTCTGTGCCCGACTTGGGGGTGGGTGGTGCTGCATTGGACCTGCTCCTCCGCTTTGGTCAGCTATGAAATTGACTTCCAGCCTGGGAAGCCACCTATTTAACAAGTGCCCGTAACAGCAATGCCAAATAAGTCTGTCGAAAAGCTAAGCATTTGTCACCTTTGCATTCAAGACATTTCCTATGCTATAGCTGTGTCAGGCATGGTGTGGCACCTGTGGTGCCGGATTTAAGCTCAAGTTCAGTCCAGTAGACTTTCAAGTAACAATGATGGTGCAAGTGGGTTCCATATACAAAAGGCACAAATAGGGGCCACAAGGGAAGAGCAACACTTTTGACATTTGGTTCTGGCACTTTCTTGGGTATCAGGTTCTCACAGATAAGACTGTGTATAAATTAAAATTTGAGTTGGGCAATTTTAATTACTAAATGAAAAATGTAGAAAGGGCACTATAGGCAGAAGGAATAGCTAGAACAAAGTTGGAATCACAAACCAAAGTGCAAGGTTAACCTAGAAGACAGCAGAGCCCTCAGGGGTGGTTAACATCTAAGAGATCAAGGAAGGTGTTGCAAGATGTGAAACTTCAAATACTTCAAATACCTCAGGGCGCAAGCATGAAGGGTATGAACACTGTGTCAAGGGAGTATGCTAACTTTACAAGCAATGAAGACTTCATGCAGGTTTTTAAAATAACATTTATTTTTTAAAAGTTAACATGTGCATATAATAGGAAACTGAAAAGCACAAGAAGCAAAGAACAGAGTTATCCATAATCACAAGCAGTTTACAGTCTGACGTGTCCTTCTAAGTCCCCTGTGTCTACACAACTAAGCTTCCCTTTATTTTGTCATCAGGATTGTACAGTTATGTATCAAGCTTTTTCACACATCGTGAATATTTACCACTTCAAAGTCCCAAAGCTATGAGTATTCTGATAACCAAGAATACCCTACACCAACTCAATCTGGAAGAAAATGTAATCCTGCCTTCCTTGGCGACAAAAAATTCATCAAGGACAAAAATAGCAAGACATCTACATAAAGATAGTGACAAAGTTACAATTAAAATACTGCATTCCCTTAATGTTTGATTAACAATGAGACACAAAGCAAGAGTACACAAAGTATAATGCTTCTATATTTTAAAAATGTTAGCAAGGAGGCAGTTTTGACCAAAATGTTTAACACTGTATTCCTACAGCACAGCCAAAGGGATGCACACACATCAGTGGCTATCATCACAATGTGAACATGAGCACATCCACACACACCCCTCCCTGCCCTTCCTTCTGCCCTCTGCTGCCAGCCTAATGAACAAGTCCTGGCGTCCATTTCTGAGATGGTTCAACAATTCCATGTCTAAGATGCCTCTCTTCTAACAATTATAACAAAGAGATATTTACAGATTGGTGAATTCACTAGCTCTACTTTTTACCATACACTGTCACCTCAGGACATCTAAAAAGCTCCGATGTTGCAAAATAATTAACCTTGTCCACAATAAACACAGGAACTTTACAAAAATGCGCATATAGACCTATAATTATAACCTAAAACTTTCTTCTAGATATGGAGATACTAGCAAAGAGCCCTTCCCTTCACCCTTCCTCTTCTCCCTCCTCCACCATTTCAGTGACTAAATACAAGACACCTAGCTCCAAGAGGTGGATTAACACACACATTCCCAGAAGACAGTCCTTCCTATAAACTAACTAAAGGGCCTTATAAAGGGATTATCTACCACCTCTACTTTTAATATACTTTGAGCATAAAGACTTGTTTATCCTTGAATACATAGCAATATTAACTAAAATGCACATTATATAACAATGGTTAGACAATCTGTCTACTCATGGGCACAGAACCCTTTTTTCTGTACTTCCTTCCTTCCTTCCCCCTCCCT